ATTGGGGGCATGGGTGATGGGTTTATCTAAATTTTCCCCTTCTACCCCAAAGGTGAAGCTAGACATACCGTTAACAACTTATGAACACCTTATTCCCAATCTTACTGTAAAATCCCTGAGAGATGTGGGCTATGTCAAGTTTACCGGCTTCCATGCTGCTCAAGTGCGGGGCAATATATACCCATTTCTTCAGATTACGGCCTACAGGGGCACCAATTCTAACTCGGATGTAGAGGTTGATGCTAAGATTTGGCATTCATCATCAAACCTTGCTGGACTAAAAAAGGGCATTTCATGGTTCTATAGATTTTTGCAGTATGATTCTGACACTTCCGTGATAGCATGCGTTGAGAAATTGGAAAGGAAGCTGGGGAGATCTTTTACTCTGGAAGAGTGGCAAGCAGCTTGGTCTTGTAATAGTCTTTCAAAGTGTACTCACCACTGGGATAGCTCTCTTAAGATTCTATACCGCAGCTATCTCACCCCATATAAAATCGCAAAAATATACCCCAAAGCATCACTCGACTGTTGGAGGGCTTGTGGTGAGGTGGGAAGCTTACTGCACGTTTTGTGGGAATGTGCAAATATACGGGAATTTTGGAGTAATGTTTTTGATTTGATCTCTCGGGTGTCAGGAGTACAGACAAATCCTAATCCTCATCTAGCATTACTAAATATTACATTGAATTTATTTTCTGTTCCAATTTCGGACAATTATTGCTCATATTCTAATAGATGCTCGGCTAACTATTGCTAAAGCGTGTGGAAATCTTCCACATCCCTTCCTATTTGGGAGGTGATTAATAGACTACATTCCCACTATCTGTATGAGAGTGCCTACACATTTTCAAATCACACTATATGGGTATTTGAAGTTAAATGGCAACGTTGGAACAATTTATTCAAAATCTCTGATTTATGAGAGTAAGGGTCCGTAGGACAAAGATTTTAAAATCTTGTTGAATTCTGTTGGATATGTTGAACCTCTTTATCTTTCCTTCTCTTAATTCCTTTCTCCTGCTTTTATTGTTTTTCTTTATTTTTTATTATTGTATTTTTTTTTTCGACTGTATTTGCAATGGATAAAATTTTATCCCATATGTATCACATGTGCCCGCTTGAATAATGAAGTGTGTACTGCTATGATCTGGTTTATATATCAGATACTGTTCTGTAACTGCTGAATGTACTCTGTATAATTTGGACAATGTGTGATGTTCCTAAGGCTATTGTTACAGCCGACTATTTTATGTTCCTGTTAGTGACTTGAAAAACCTTAATAAAAAAAGAGTTGAAAGAAAAATCAGCTGCAGCATGAGTAAATAGGCCTGGCCTCAGCCGGCATGCTGCATATATGAATATTGGTCTGTGTGGCTGGTGCAGGGGTGTTCTTTCTGCAGAGGACTAGCAAGCTCCCATACCGAGTCCAATCTACCAAGTCAGAATTAGAGTTCTCCAATCAGCAGGAAGCATGAGCTTTGCTCATTGTAGAACTACAGGTGAAACTTGAAAAATTAGAATATCGTGCAAAAGTTCATTTATTTCAGTAATGCAACTTAAAAGGTGAAACTAATATATGAGATAGACTCATTACATGCAAAGCAAGATAGTTCAAGCCGTGATTTGTCATAATTGTGATGATTATTGCTTACAGCTCATAAAAACCCCAAATCCACAATCTCAGAAAATTAGATTATTGTGAAAAGGTGCAATATTCTAGGCTCAAAGTGTCCCACTCTAATCAGCTAATTAAGCCATAACACCTGCAAAGGGTTCCTGAGCCTTTAAATGGTCTCTCAGTCTGGTTCAGTAGGAATCACAATCATGGGAAAGACTGCTGACCTGACAGTTGTACAGAAAACCATCACTGACACCCTCCATAAGGAGGGAAAGCCTCAAAAGGTAATTGCAAAAGAAGTTGGATGTTCCCAAAGTGCTGTATCAAAGCACATTAATAGAAAGTTATGTGGAAGGGAAAAGTGTGGAAGAAAAAGGTGCACAAGCAGCAGGGATGACCGCAGCCTGGAGAGGATTGTCAGGAAAAGGCCATTCAAAAGTGTTGGGGACTTTCACAAGGAGTGGACTGAGGCTGGAGTCAGTGCATCAAGAGCCACCACACACAGACAGATCCTGGACATGGGCTTCAAATGTCATATTTCTCTTGGCAAGCCGCTCCTAAACAACAAATGTCAGAAGCGTCTTACCTGGGCTAAAGAAAAACAGACCTGGTCTGTTGCTCAGTGGTCCAAAGTCCTCTTTTCTGATGAGAGCAACTTTTGCATCTCATTTGGAAACCAAGGACCCAGAGTATGGAGGAAGAATGGAGAGGCACACACTGCAAGATGCTTGAAGTCCACTGTGAAGTTTCCACAGTCTGTGTTGATTTGGGGAGCCATGTCATCTGCTGGTGTTGGTCCACTGTGCTTAAGTCCAGGGTCAACGCAGCCGTCTACCAGGAGATTTTGGACTGCATGCTTCCTTCCACAGATGAGCTTTATGAGGATGCTGACTTCATTTTCCAGCAGGACTTGGCACCTGCCCACACTGCCAAAAGCACCAAAACCTGCTTCAATGACCGTGGGATTACTGTGCTTGACTGGCCAGCAAACTCACCTGACCCCCCCATAGAAAATCTATGGGGCATTGCCAAGAGAAAGATGAGAGACAGGAGACCGAACAATGCAGAAGAGCTGAAGGCCACTATTGAAGCATCCTGGTCTTCCATAACACCTCAGTAGTGCCACAGGCTGATAGCTTCCATGCCACGCCGCATTGAGGCAGTAATTGCTGCAAAAGGGGCCCAAACCAAGTACTGAGTACATATGAATGCTTATACTTTTCAGAGGTCCGATATTGTTCTATGTACAATCCTTGTTTTATTGATTGCATGTAATATTCTAATTTTCTGAGATTGTGGATTTGGGGTTTTCATGAGCTGTAAGCCATAATCATCACAATTATGACAAATCACAGCTTGAACTATCTTGCTTTGCATGTAATGAGTATCTCATATTTAGTTTCTCCTTTTAAGTTGCATTACTGAAATAAATGAACTTTTGCACGATATTCTAATTTTCGAGTTTCACCTGTATATACTTGACTCAGGGTGGAAATAAGGAGAAACTAAATAAGGGAACACAAATATTTTATTAAAAAGAAAAAAAGGTATTTCCTCGGTAGGCAAAAAGGTTACCATCATGTCAACTGTTCTACTCAAAGCCCCTCCTTCCCCAAGAAACTAGGAGATTTTACTGTAGATGTTAGAAGTGAACACCACCCTTCATTTGATCAATAGTTTACTTGCTGGGCCAGTCACCTAGAATGTTTATCTTTTTCTCGATTATTGATGAAATGTGTTGTTCTCTTGATTTTCTTTTTACATCACCATGTGACCTAAAATTTCAATTGTCCCACATTTCAGTGGGACAATTGAAATTTTAGGTCACATGGTGATGGTGAAATGGCCTTTCCACAGCCTCTTCTTTCATTGTTAAATTGTGCCATCTTCATTGGCCAAATGTTGCAGCTTTTTGTTTGTCATTTGTATTCCTGCTCACTAAATAAAATTTAATTAAAGAATGACAATTGTTTATGACATACAACACAGTGATTTAACAAACTACATGTCTATTATTTAGGGTTTACATCTATTTTAATAGAGTGGAGAAGGTTGTTTTTTTTTAAATATTGTGGCTTCCTATCCCACATTCTATAGAAAACAATTGTTTAAAGTCAGTGATTTACTACGACCCCAACTTCAAAAAAGTTGGGACGCTGCATAAAATCTACATAAAAACAGAATGCAGTGATTTGCAAATGTCATTTAATATTCTTTTTAGCAACCATGGGCGCAGCTTCCACAGGACTAAAGAGAAGAGGGACCTTCTGGTTTGTTATCAGAACTCAGTTCAATAGCTTGTATCTCTGATGGTATGGAGGTAAATTAGTGCCAATGAAATGGACAGCTTACACACCTGAAAAGCCACCATCAACGCTCAAAAGATACATTCAGGTTTTAGAGCATCATATACTCCCATCCAAATACAATGCCTTTTTGAGGGAAGTCCTTGCATATTTCAGCATGACAATGCTAAACTGCAAACTGCATCTATGATGACAGCATGGCTTTGTAGAAGCATCCTGGTACTTAACTGGCCTGCCTGCAGTCCAGACCTTTCACTAATTGAAAATATCTGGTGCATCTTTAAAACGAAAAGCATGACAAAAAAGACCCAGGACTGTTGAGCAGTTAGAATCCTATATCAGATAGAAATGGGACAACATTCTTTTCCCAAAACTCCAGTAACTGGTCTCCTCAATTTCCAGACATTTACAGAATGTTGTTAGAAGAAGTTGGGACATGTTGTTAGAAGAAGTTGGGACATGGTCCTGTCCCAACTTTTTTAAGACCTGTGGTTGCCATCATTTTCAATGTGAACTTATTTATTTCTTAAATGGTACATTTTCTCAGTTTAAATATTTGATATGTTTTCTATTTTTTTTATTGTGAATAAAATATGAATTTGTGGATTAATGTATACATTGCAGAAATAAAAATATAAATCAGACTGTGTAAAAATATATCCTTTATTAAGTAAAGAACTTAAAAAAAAAAACATAAAAAAACCCCTAAAAAACTAAAAATCACAGAATCTCTGAAAACAAACGGATTATTCTGTAAACACCAACTGCTACAAATGAAGATGGCATTTCAAATTCATTACCAAAGATAAAAGAATTTTCTTATTTTGTTTTAGGCTATATTTGTACTCTGCATTTTAGTGCATAAAAAAAAATCTTCCTTGCTGCATATTTGGTGTGATTTCCAGTAAAAAACCTCCAAAAAACACCTTCCATAGGGACGACTGGTAAAATATCTAAAAAACTTAAAACACACAGCAACCATACCACATGAAAAACAGAGTTACAAATGTAGCCAAAGAACAATTTCTGCATTGCAATGAACTGTATTACCAGAACTTAGCAGTAATATTTTTGATGTGTAAAAGGTATACTATCAAGCAGTTAGAAAACATATAAATGACAAGCACAAAGAGAGAAAGCAAATTACTGCTGTGAATGGTGTCAATTGTCATGTTGACTATTCCAGTTAATATGTTTGCAATCAAGAAGTAGAGCAACTGATTTCTGTTTATAGCTTCAATAAGACATTGATGAACTTCTTTATTTGAGTCTTTGGTAGAGGTAACCCTTCTGACAGAGGAATATGAGGTGCTGCGTATGTTCCATGTGCTTGGTACATTACTACCAGGAGTCATATACTCTGCAAATGCCAAAATTAGGTCACATATTAAAAATGAACACAGCCAAGCCACACACTGACCAATGATCCATATGCAAAAAGGCAAATTTGCCATTCGACGGGACACAGGTTCCACATATATCTGGAAAAAAGTAATGCTGATAAACAACCCAGAAGACAGAAGTACCAAGCTGCAGATGGCACTGATCCATTCCTTTACCAACATCCTTTTCTTTAGAATGTATAGTCCAACTTGAACTCCGATCATGTATATTCCAACATAACCGACCACAGAAAAAATACCTTCTCTGTTTGCATTTAAAAAACCAACTCTGGTGCCCTGACTGTCACTGCCGTATAAAAGAAAACTCTTGAGATCAGTCACTTCCAAAAAAAATTGATAGCCTATTATGATGGTGAGGGCTACAAACCAGATTCTTTGAGGTGGCACTAAAGTCATCAGCAACGATGACAATACCCGAACAGTTGCAAGAGTGAAAAAGAAGTTCCAATGAACACCATACTCCGTTACATGTTCTTGATAATCAACTGCTTTCACACTTATTAGCCGGGCAAGTCCAAGAACAATTAGTGGCCAAACTGACAAAATCTGCTTTTTTACTCTGAAAAAATGTGAGAGTGTCACTCTTTCCTGTGTTCTAGCTTCTGGAGAAACTAGAGCGTTCCCAAAGATAAAGCATCCAACTCCTATGTCCATCACTCCAGTTCCGTAGGTCTCTGTTTTCGCATAGCGCCTGGGGAAGATAGGGAAATCCACACCGAGTATGGAAACTGCAGTGAGTACATTAAGGGACACACGCAAAGTTGTAACAGCTGGGACAGTCCCATTCCCCACATGTGCATTCAGGAAGGACTGGCAGATATTATGAAGTGATGCCTTCATAGACTTATTTCTTTTTCTGCCTATGATGTAAAACAGCAATAAGCAAAGTGCCACAATAGATAACAAAACTATGTGTAGGGCATCAGAGAAGATTGTGCATGACAGTACCAGAGGAAGTACCAAGAGAATGTAGTCAATGAAAAAGTCAACTTTCCATGAATTACTTAGTACAGCAGATTTACGGCAGAGGCTAATAAACAACAATCCTCTGAATAGGATGCAAAGAGTCGTCACACCCAGGCCCGAGGAGATCTCTGTAATGCTGGTCCCGTTGAGATTTCCTATAAATGCTTCCTTAAGATGCTTTGATGACATTCTGTGGTAAAGCAGGAAGATTAATGTTGTAGCGTTAATAATGTAAAATTAAAGCATACCTAAATTTTCCTCTATGACGGTCTAAACAAGTACCAAATCCAGATACTATGTGATCGACAAGCCTCATAAAAGTAAACACAAAACATCCTCTACCTTCCTTGACTGAGCCAAATACATCTTAATTTGTGTCTCATGCGCTCCAGATCCAGGACACTGCAGCTCACCGTGGGAAGGCTTCAGCAACCTAAGCAGTGCTATGAATCCAGAAAGCAGTGAGCAGAACCCCTTGTAACAATTTTTTTTTATCTCGTAGTGCAAACAGACAGAATTTGGTGGATTCACTAGGTATTTGCAGGACTTTGCTGGGGAATTAAGAGAAAACTGTAATTTGCAGATTCACTTATAATTTAATGCTCCAGCAGATATTTATTTTAAATGGGAGGCCATAGTTCTGCTTTAATTTTGCAAATGTGAATCTGTGTTTTCCCTAAGCAAGTTATAATTTACAGATTCACTTAACTTACACCCTCTTCAGCTAATCCTACTCATTTTCCTTTCTTTGCCCTGACACTGGGAGGAAGCAGGACTTCCTGGTAATTCTGGGGATCAAATGGCATTGCTGGTGTTTGATGATTGGTTGCTTATGCGCCTAGCACTGCCACATGATGGCAAGGAAAGAACCTTCAGTCCTACGTAGGCTACAGACAGTGACTTAAAGCATAACTTTACCCATAACAACTTGATAAAAAAAATAATGTTCTTCAACAAGGAACATACATTTCACATCAATAATTATGCTAGCAGAATTAGTATATGCTGTAAATTGCCTCCAGCATTGCTCCCGTTGCTTCTTGCCGGAGGCTGCCATTTTGTTGGAGCCCAGAACACCTGAACAGTAGTAAATATTTAGGCTTTAGTAGATTGTCCTCTACATTTTCGGCACAGTGAAAAAAAAAAATAGAGAGGAATTGAGCTTGTGCAATGCAGGACGAGACAGTGTATTACTAGATTGTAAACAGTATAGCCACTTATTTTTAATGCTTTACATAGCTATACCTGCAAAAGGGGCCAGCATGAAGAGATCGAGCAGAACCTAATTTTCTGACTACAGTTCTACTTTAAGAGCTTACATAGGGCTTCTTTTCTTCACTCCCAGTGATAAAATGGAGCACTGGGAAAGCAAAAGAAAGGAAAGTACGTGCAAATGTCAACGCCAGTAAAATAGAACTTTACTTGAAAAAAAAAATATAATAAACCTGCTAACAGGCTTTTTATTGAGGAATACAGATTCTTTGTCTCTCTTGAAATAATCGCTTCTTATCTACTTGTTTAGATGGGCCACAGAGCTGTGCGTGTGCAGCTCACTGTGTACAATGCAAGCATGCCCTAGTGCTGGGGTGAATTAACTTCTGTGCCCTTTTGTGGGAGTTATGTCATCCTGGGCCAAACCAATCAAGATGACCGAAGATGCTGAAACAGAAGACTGGACAAAGAAGGCAGCGACGGCAAAAGGAGCTTGTGGACTTCACTTTACCAAAGAGGAGGTAAGAATCACTTAGTTTAGTATTTCTTTAAGTGAACCCGTTGAATTTATCTACATAGGCAAAGCACAGATCCACTTTACAGACTAATTTACCAAATCATTGTACACGTTTCAAATATTATAAACTGCAAACATTATTTTTATTAACACAGCTTACTTGTATCACTTTGTCTGTGTTGATGGGCAGCTGTCACAGTTGACTAAAAGATGGAATGCATATTAGAGATAATGATTACAGCAACTGTAATTGCCATCATCCTAAGTACATGGCTAGATTGGTGGAAGTTGTTCACCTACAAAAAAAAATGTGTTATTACTCTCAATGTGAAATGGAGCAACAGAATAGAAGTATTAATGCCTAAAGTAAACCTGCCAAATAAACCATACACCTTTAAAGTTGTTATAGTCTTTGGGATGTCTAAAGGCAATTCTATATTTTGAGAAATGTGTATCCTCATACCTGTGAATGTTAGGTGTGTATAGAATTTTCCCTGACTTTAGAATTACTTTGTTCATCTCTTCCTCAAGACATGTCATGACCCCATAATAATCCCATAATTTGAAAAAAGAGACTATATGTGGTTACTTATTGCAGTTCTATGGCAGGACTCCTCCACTACAATGGAAAGAGGAAAACCAAATGCAGAAAAAGTGCTATTCTAGTAAATGTGGTTAACAGATGTACAAAGGGTAATTGTTACATTATTTTTTTATATTTTTATTTCACAAGCTTTTATATATTACATAATTATAAAAGCCAACCTGTTTAGCAAAACTTATAGTGGCAGGGGCCGAGACATACTATAACAATGTCAGAAAAACATAAAATCTAAATGTAATCAAAATAAAAAAGAAAAACACAAAAGTCAGCACAAGGGACAAGACTATTAATGTTCTGTGTCCCTTGTGCTGCTGGCTCCTGGTTTCCTTGAAATCCTCCTCTATTGATGTCCACACCCCAGCCACCATATTCTTCTGGTTCAGCTGGGTTTAGTAGAATTGAGGGAGTAGTCATTTGCACTTATGAAGAGTGCCTGACTATGCCTTCCCTTTCTGTACAGCTGCTTCATTCATACAGGCCATACTACAGTGTCTATGAATGAAACGTGATCTTTTGAATTCAAGAGGGGTGGATGAATGAAAGGTTCATCCCTCCATTCATAAATCATGTTTCATTCATAGATCTAGTTACTGTCACAGCACCAGAAGATTAAAGCGGTGGAGGGTGGAGGCAGGGGCATCAAAGGAGGAGAATTTCAGTGAGACCAGGTGCAGGTGCCAGCAGCACCTTTGTGCTGATTTTTGTGTTTTACATTTTGACTATATTTAGGCTTTAAGAAGATGTATCAACAGCTTCTTTTTTTTTTTATATAAATCTTATGAATAAAAATGAGGCTATTTAAACCAACCCTGTGAGTGTGAAGGCTTGTTCACACACTTCTGCATGCTAAAATAAGTGTAGGCTAGTGTCTTCTGTGTAGCAGTGGTAATGGGTGGTGCCTTGCATTGTTACAACACAAGGAACTGCGTACTTTTTTCTTTTTTTAACTTTATGGTATTTCATTTATTTCTATGAGGCGTGGTGGGAAAAAATGCAGCATGTCTTCTATGTGCTCTGGTGTTGAGCCTACATTGATCTATGAAGATTAATGCAGCTCAAATGAAGTTGTGTGAAAGAGGTCTTAAACTTCTTTAGACTTTTTTTTTTTCTTCAGCTAGTGGGCCAAACAAACGAGGTGTACCGAAGAATCTCCCCCACTGGGACATGGTATTCTGACAGCAGCACTCACCGCTGTCAGACTAATCAGGGCTGCAACCAGAGTGAGAAAAAATTTCCAACATGACCGTTCAACAGAAGTCAAATGATTAACTTCTGTCAAACAGGGACTGCCACACACTGACCAAAATTAACCCGGTCCCTAGTGAACACGACAAATTATAATTTGTTTATGGCTGGTCTTAGTGTTTGTTCTTACTCCCACACTGCTTCTTTTGTTGGATAACTTGATCTACAAGTAAATTAAGAAAAGAAAATAAGTAAAGGCATGTGAAAAAAGCCCTTAATCTGTACCCAGCTGGCATGGGGGAAAGTCCGGTAAACAAGGCCAGAGCAACTCTGGTCTGCTGTGTCCTATTAAGCCATCCAGGTGGGTGTAGGTGCATGTGTGTCCCTGAACTCACATCTGACTTGAGGGACATGCACCCATACCTACATTGCCACTGTGCAGCCGCTGTATCCCAATTGACGTCAATGGGACTACTTGCACGGAACACCTGTGCATCCCCATGCATGTGAACACAGCCTTGCACGGTATAGTATGCCCTGTGTGAATGAGGCCTTACTGACGAAAGGCATAATGAATTGCTATAGCAATGGAAGCACCGATAAGTGGTAGTTAGCCTAGTTATAAACATTTAGGGGTTCATTTACTAAAAGCTGGAGAGTGAAAAAAATCAGGCTCTTTGGGAAAATAAAAATCAGGCTCATTTCTGCAATAGAAAACAGTCAGCTTCCAGGTTTTATTGTCAAAGCTTATGTTAACAAGTCGAGGTTAGAAGCTGATTGGTTTCTATGCAGAAGTGAGCCTGATTTTGCACTCTCCAGCTTTAGTAAATAAATCCCTTATTGTACATGAGCAGACTGAGAAGTTTTACCTGATGACAGAATCTTTTAAGACGAGCTCCAGTCATTTTTGTTTTTCTTAAAAGTTAGCAGCTACAAAAACTGTAACTGTCTTTTAATAAGCTCACACTCACCTGTCCCAGGATCCAGGGATGTGCTCACCCAAGGTGTCCCTCCTCTCTCTCCGGCATCTCAACTGTGGGCACCCGGCTGTGACAGCTTGTGGTTTCACACCTGGGTGCCCATTGCGTATGCGCGAGTCGCGTTGCGCCTCCTGAATAGTCCAGCAGTCTTCAGTGAAGTGTCCCAGAAAACTGCGGAGGGACTGAGGGGGGCCAAATGTCCGGATCAGTGGGAGCCAGAAGTGGGAACTAAACATTTCCCCAAAAAAATAAGTTTTTCGACATTTCTGTTATAACATTTTGCAAATAAATAACTGTTCTTTATAAATTTAGGCCAAAATGTATAGTTACATTACTTGGTGAAAATAACCCAAATTAGCGTATATTATTTTTAGTCTATAGGAAAGTCATAGAGTCCAAAAACTATGGTATGTATCTGAAAATCAATCAGTCCTGATGTACTGGTGGCCCATCTCATTTCTTGAGGCACAAAAATCGTCATGACAGTACAGATATGAACCAAATGACACCTTTTTGGAAAGTAGACAGTGTGCTGTATTTAGTAAGAGGCATGGCGAGTTTTTCGAAGTTGTAATTTTTTGTCATAATTTTTTGTGGAAAATAAATGAAAAAAAAAATTTTTCACCATTTTTTCTTTTTTTAAATTTTGTCACCAGTACAGTACAGTGTCATAATATAACTGGTGTGGAGGTGATCAGGGACACTGACTGGTAACAGTATGAAAAAAAAAAAAAAATAATATATATTTTTTTAAATCTTTTATTTGTTTCTTTTTATTGTTATCTGTTATCTTTCTTTTTATTAAGATTTTTTTTTTATAAAACACTGTGACCAGAGTAATATAATGTTACCACAGTAACATTGTACTACTCTGGGGAAGTGATCAGTACTTATTTATTATTATTTATATTTTTACACATTATGATTGCCTATAGCAGTAAATTTCACTGCTATAGGCAAGCATTTGACTGAATGAAATTGATTCATTCAGTGGTTTTTGTTGTGATTAGCTGTGATTGTCCACAGCTAATTACATGGCACAGATGGGCTATGATTAGGCCAGTCACAGCTAGCAACACAATTGTATACAATGGATGGCATGAGACAAAGCCATGCATTGTTTACAATTGTCATATGACCTGCTGTGATTGGACACAGCCGTCACATGATACCTGCAATGGGCCGGTACAGATATTAGTCATTGGCTGTTTCCAATGGACACAGCCAATGACCAATCTGTGTACCAGTCCAACCAACAGACACAGATCTCCCCGCAGTGTGGCCCCGTGGGCGTGAGCAAGGCAGTGATCTTGGAGGACGTCATATGACTCCCACCCGGACTGATGAAAGCCCATACTCACCTGTCATTTTACTATAGGCCGGGTGAAAACTGGTTAAAGCATAAGCTTTTTTTTAAAGCATTTTTTGATCTTTTGCTTTCAAAGAGAAAGGAGAGATATGGGGACTATAAACAAGAAAAACATTTCAAGCCCCCCTCCAGTACATATGCACACACGTATGTAAATGGTGTTCACACCACATATGCGAGGTATCACCGCGAACATTGGAGTGAGAGCAATAATTCTAGCACTAGACCTCCTCTGTAACTCTAAACAGGTAACCTGTAAAAATGTTTAAAGCATTGCCTATGGATATGTTTATGTATTGTAGTTTGTCACCATTCCACGAGTGTATGCAGTTTTAAAGCGTGACATATTAGGTACCTATTTACTCAGTGTAACATCATCTCTTATAGATTACAAAAAAAATTGAGAAGTGTATTGTGTTTTTTTGCATTAAAATTCATTAAAGTGTATTTTTTCCAGAAAAGTTGTATTTGAAAAACCACTGTGCAAATACCGTGTGAAATAAAAAATTTAAATGATGGCCATTTTATCCTCTAAGTTATCTGCTAAAAAATATATGTTTGTGAGTTCTAAGTAATTTTCTAGCAAAAAATACAGATTTTTATTTGTAAACAAAAGGTGCCAGAAAAGGCTTGGCCCTTAACCACTAGGGGACCGCCCACAGTACATTTACTGCAGCAAAGCGGCCCCTGTAGGCAGGATCAAGTTTATAAACGTCATCCTGTTTACATGGTAGGGGGCGCACACGAGGTGCGCAACCGCCCTACCTGTGGCACCCGTGGGTGTCAATCACCAGGTCCCAGCCGGTGATTACCCGCTGGGTCCCGGTGATTGCCAGCAAACAAACACTGACAGGGAGCACCGCTGCATTGTTTTCAGAGCTCAGCCTTCTGGAACAGTGTGTACCAGAGAAGGCACACCCCCTCCCACCCCCCTAGTGAAACACTCCCCTTACACAGTTAATCCTTTGCCTAAAAAGGTTAACCCCTTCCTCCCCAGTGCCATTAGTACATTGTGAGTTTTTTTTTTTGCAGTGATCACTGTATTGGTGTCACTGGGGATGTCAATGACCTCAAGTCAGTCCCCCCCCAGTGTCAGAATATCCGTCGCAGTCCCTCCATAAGTCGCTGATCGCCGCCATATGTCACTGATCGCCACCGTAAGTTGCTGATCGCCACTATTATTAGTATAAAAATAAAATAAATCCAGTATCTATATCGCCATTTTGAAATGCTATAACTTTCACGTAAACCAATTCATTTACATGTATTGGGATTTTTTTTCAGCAAAGACATGTCGCAGAATACATTTTGGCCGAAATTTATGCTGAAATTTGATTTTTTTATTTTTTTACTGGACATGTTTTATAGTAAAAAGTCCAAAATATTGATTTTTTTTCCTCAAAATTGTCAGTCTTTTTTTTTAATAGCACAAAAAATAAAAACTACACAGGTGATCAAATACAACCTAAAGAAAGCTCAATTCGTGGGGAAACAAATTCATTTTGGTGCAGCGTTGCATGACCACGCAATTGTCAGTTAAAGTAACGCAGCGCCGTAACACAAACTGCTTCTGTAACCGCTTCCTGACCGTCCTATAGCAGAAATACTAATACAGAGCGGCATGGGTGTGCAAAATCACATATATACAGTCAGGTCCATAAATACTGGGTCATCGACACAATTCTAACATTTTTGGCTCTATACGCCACCACAATGGATTTGAAATGAAACAAACAAGATGTGTTTTAACTGCAGACTGTCATCTTTAATTTGAGGGTATTTACATCCAAATCAGGTGAACGGTGTAGGAATTACAACAGTTTGCATATGTGCCTCCCACTTGTTAAGGGACCAAAAGTATTGGGACAATTGGCTTCTCAGCTGTTCCATGGCCAGGTGTGTGTTATTCCCTCATTATCCCAATTACAATGAGCAGATAAAAGGTCCAGAGTTCATTTCAAGTGTGCTATTTGTAATTGGAATCTGTTGCTGTCAATTCTCAAGATGAGATCCAAAGAGCTGTCACTATCAGTGAAGCAAGCCATCATTAGGCTGAAAAAACAAAACAAACCCATCAGGGAGATAGCAAAAATATTAGGAGTGGCCAAAACAACTGTTTGGAACATTTTTAAAAAGAAGGAACGCACTGGTGAGCTCAGCAACACCAAAAGACCCGGAAGACCAAGGAAAACAACTGCGGTGGAGGACCGAAGAATTCTTTCCCTGGTGAAGAAAACACCCTTCACAACAGTTGGCCAGATCAAGAACACTGCAAAAGCTGTGACTGCTGACAAAAGCAGCAGGATGAATTCTGAAGTGTTTTGGGCAATATTATCTGCTCATATTCAGCCAAATGCTTCAGAACTCATTGAACGCCACTTCACAGTGCAGATGGACAATGACCCAAAGCATACTGCAAAAGCAACCAAAGAGTTTAAGGGAAAGAAGCGGAATGTTATGCAATGGCCAAGTCAATCACCTGACCTGAATCCGATTAAGCATGCATTTCACTTGCTGAAGACAAAACTGAAGGGAAAATGCCCCAAGAACAAGCAGGAACTGAAGACAGTTGCAGTAGAGGCCTGGCAGAGCATCACCAGGGATGAAACCCAGCGTCTGGTGATGTCTATGCGTTCCAGACTTCAGGCTGTAATTGACTGCAAAGGATTTGCAACCAAGTATTAAAAAGTGAAAGTTTGATTTATAATTATTATTCTGTTCCATTACTTTTGGTCCGTTAACAAGTGGGAGGCACATATGCAAACTGTTGTAATTCCTACACCGTTCACCTGATTTGGATGTAAATACCCTCAAATTAAAGCTGACAGTCTGCAGTTAAATCACATCTTGTTCATTTCATTTCAAATCCATTGTGGTGGTGTATAGAGCCAAAAATGTTAGAATTGTGTCAATGTCCCAATATTTATGGACCTGACTTTATATACATGATTTGCGCTCCTGCGGTTTTCACGCCCCTCCCAGATGGCGTCAGATTGCCTGATTGCCAGTAATCATATTTAACCCCTTGATTGCCAGGAAGACACTCATACACAATAAACCTCCATTGCTAGTATAGTGTCTGAACGGATCATTATCTTTGATCAGATCAGCACTATACCAGCGTTCACATTAGTACAGCATCCCCAAAAATGCAGCGTTAGCGGGATCAGCCCCGGCACCTGCCAGCACCTACGTTTAGCCCCTACGCTTACCCCCCCCCTTCTCCCCCAGCAAGTGCAGTGTCAGTAAGTCACTTTCACTTAAAACACTGTACACAAAACCGCTGTACACAAAACCGCAGTGCTGGCAGAATCAAGCCTGATCTGTTAGCACTTGTCGGTAAATTTTGATGACTCTCATATGCAGAAGAATGCCATAACTAGTGCCGCGCTATCTTTTGGTGAACTGGCGAGCACCAGCGGCTAGTACATCCTGCTTTTTCACATACCTCTTAGATTGTAAGCTTCCAGGATCAGGCCCTCCTAACCCTCTTGTATTGAACTGTATTGTTGCTGTATTGTCTCCTGTTATATTGTAAAGCGCTGAGCAAACTGTTGGCGCTATATAAATCCTGTATAATAATACCAGCACTGCAGTATCACTTGGTGACGTAGCGAGTCCCATAAGTGTAGTACAAGCTGGTGCAGTGGCAAGCACAAGTATTGTCCCGCAACCACCAAAAATTTGCACACAGGCCCGTAGAGCCCCTAGTATCCTCCCGGATGTGCTTGCAACTTTTGATTGGCAGCCCACAAATTCTGCAGCACCCGTACTTCCCCCATTCATTGCCCAACCCAGAATTCAGGTGAAACAGCAAATTTAACTACTCCCCTTGATTTTTTTGGAGCTGTTTTTTCACACAAGATCTGTATGCATCCATTGTGGATCAAAGCAATTTATATGCGCAACTATTTATCGCTGCCAACTCAAATTCAAAACTTGCCAGACCATTACAGTTTCCGAATTTACATTTTTTTTGGACCTAACCCTCAACATGGGCATTACTAAAAAAAATGAATTGCGGTTATATTGGTCCACAGACCCGATTCTTCATATGCCTGTGTTCTCTGCTGCCATGGCCAGGCATAGATATGAAAGTATAATCGAGGTGACCTTGAATTTGACCGGCTCCACAAAATTCAGCCCCTCACAAATCACCTTAACCAAAAATTTGCAGATATCTATACTCCCCAGCAAAACATCTCCGTTGATGAGTTCCTCATTAATTTTTCTGGCTGCCTTGCATTCAAACAATTTCTCCCAAGCAAGCGTGCCAGATATAGAAGACCTGTGAGAGGACAACAGGCTATACTTATAAGTTTCGGATTTACAAAATCCCAAGGGATCCCTTGTGTAAATTCTGACCTGACTGAAAATGTGGATATAACAGAGGAACTTGGAATCATCAACTTGTCAAATCATAAACTTTCCGAACCAGAATTAACCATCCTCTCCAAAGGCCTTACATTCTGCCCAACCACCAAATTGGATCATTTACAATTATTGTCAGATATGAAGGATTTCTTCAGGAGACTAAGGCTCAAAGAATATTTCCACAATAATGAAAGGAATCCTAGGACAATGGAGTGCTACACAAAGAAAAAGAACAGCTGCTTCACACCTCCACAAGGACGCAACCCCAAACTGGACACCTATATTGATAGCTTCAGATTGTGAGCTACATCCCTGATATCCACCCAGCAAAAGAAAATTCTGTACAATCTTTCACCACTAGAGCGAAGGGCTATACACGATTTGCGTAATAATCAGGCCATCACCATCAAACCAGCGGATAAAAGGGGAGCAGTTGTGATGGATACAAACAAATACATACAAGAAGGCCAGAGGCAGCTGGAAAATGCCATTTACTATAAAAAACTGGATTATCATCCGACTCAGGACTTTACAAAGCAATTAAAAGGTCTCATTAAAACACTTCCAGCCCACCTACATTCAGAACTTATAAATGCGATTCCGGATCATCCAGAAATCGGGGACTTCTACATGCTGCCCAAAGTCCACAAGCCAGGAAATCCAGGCAGACCCATCATAACAGGTATGAATACACTCACCGAACAAATCTCAGGCTTTGTAGAAAAAATGTTAAAACCGTTAGTCATGAATACTGCTAGTTTCCTACAAGACACAACTGACTTTCTGAACAAGATCAACAACATACAGCAATTACCATCTAACACACTTCTAGTGACTATGGATGTAGTATCCCTGTATAGTAATATCCCTCACAACGAGGGATTAGCTGCATGTCACAGATCTTTATCATCCTCACCAAACAACAAATACACGGCTGAGGATGTTACACAACTCATTGAATTCATACTTACACACAACTACTTTGCTTTCAATAAAGACATCTATCTTCAATGTATGGGCACTGCGATGGGAAGTAAAATGGCACCCCAATATGCCAATTTATTTATGGCTGACCTGGAGGAAAAATTCCTGAACAGCATGGAACAAAAACCACACAGATACTATCGCTATATTGATGATATTTTCATCATATGGACAGAAGGTGAAGAAAACCTAAAACAATTTTACTCATTGATGAACACTTTTCATCCATCAAACTAAAAATGGAATACTAAAACACACACGTCAACTTCCTAGACACCACAGTATACATCAGGGATGATACGCTTCACACCTGAATATACAGGAAACCCACTGACAGATGCAACTACCTCCACAGTTTCAGCTTCCACCCCCAACACACGAAACGTGCCATCATACACAGTCAGGCCATCAGATACCACCGAATATGTTCTGACCCAAGAGACAGAGATAAACATCTCAGGACACTAGCAGACTCCTTCCATAAGAAAGGTTACAAGGGCAAAACTATCAACACCAGCATAAACACAGCCTTGAGAACCCGAAGAGAAAATCTACTTCAGTACAAAGAGAAAAAAACAAACAACCGTGTACCTCTAGTAACCACATACAACCCAGCACTAGAGGGAATAAGAAAAATAATCAAAGATTTACAACCCATCATAACAGAGGATGGAACTCTGAAAGAAATATTCCAGCAACCCTCAATACTGGCCTTCAGACAACCCCAACCTCGGAAATAAACTAATCAGTAGGAAACTTCCTTCTGATTATGATGTCACAAATAACGGAAGCAAACCCTGCAATAAGAAACGCTGCAAGCTGTGCAACCAAATCAATCCATCAAAAAGTGTCAGACACTCAAAAGGGATCTTCAATATCTCCGGATCATACAGCTGCACCTCCAGTAATGTTGGGTACCTTATCCAGTGCAGAAAATGCAGCAAAGGATCTTATGTTGGTGAAACAGGACAGAAGTTGCCAACAAGGATGAATTTGCACAGACATACCATCAAGGAACATAAAGAAGATGACCTCTGCACACCTGTAGGACACCATTTTGCACAACCAGACCACACAATGGGAGACCTCAATATTTTAGTTCTTAAAGGAAATTTCAAATCCATTCAGGAAAGAAAAACTTTTGAACTAAGAATGATAATTCTATTTGACACAAGAGATAACGGCCTTAATTTGGACATGGGATTCCTCACTCATTATCCAACAGCTTTATGACTATTAGCTAGCTTGACTCCCTCTGTGTGAGTGTAGTATCGCCCCCCCCCCCCCCCCCCCCCCCCTGCTTTTGCTGTATCTTATCTGTAGCCCTTTTTTTTTTTTTTTAACCCTTCTAACATTCTGCTTAAACTTTGTGATTTGTAATAGTACTGTTTGGACTTTGAAGAAGGGGACATACCCCGAAAGCTTGTCCTCAAAATTGTATGTTAGTGCAAATAAAAAAAAGTATCATGGATTTACGAGGGAAAAGTCACGCGGAGCCCCCCCCAGCTGCGCAGACTACATGGGGAGAAGTGGCAAGATAGTTTGGGAATTGGTGTCATCCTTTTTCCATATGGGTTACCACTTCTACGTGGACAATTTTTATTCAAGCGTGCCACTATTTAGACATTTGTACAATCTTGGAACTGGCGCATGTGGCACCCTGTGACCTAATGTGTGCCCACCATTAGAAGTGGGTGGATGCAGGGAGGTATATTCTAATGGTGGGCATACCACACACTTTTTCTGGCAGAGATTTCTTCTCTTTTTTCATTCAGTCCACAGGCTGCATACAAAAAAAAAAAAAAAAAAGAACATAGCATATATACCCAACAAGGACCAGCGACATACTGGTACATCACTAGACTTTTAATGGTTATACCAGGATGATACCTACAGCTGCAGGCATCATCCTCTGTTTTTTTCAGCCAGCGATCAGCTTTCATGTAAACGCAATCCTAGTGGCTAATTAGCTGCAGGATTGCTTTTACGCGCAGCGGGAGACGATGCCCCCCTCCCCCACTGCCTTCCACAGCCTTCTTGGGCAGTCCCGTGCCATCGGGGCAACCTGAGAATGGAGCCGGTGTTTCTGCCAGCTGACCATAGAGCTGATTGGAGACCAGACTGGTGCCAATCATCTCTAGACCCTAAGAAAATGGAAGCTACAAGCATTTCATCACTTCAGTTTCACAGGATATAAACAGCGCCATTTGTAAATGGTTTGATTAGATAATGTAAGGGCAGAGGAGATATCTAGAGTCTGATAGACCCCAGATTTCTCAAAAAAGAATATATGACAATGCCCATTGAAGTTATAGGGGATATTTGCACTCCCTGTGATAGCAGTAAAAGTGATCAAAAAAAAAAATGAAGGGGACAGTGTAAATAACTTAAAAAACAAAGAAAAAAAAAAAAAAAAAATACCCTCGCCCAAACCCCCCCCCCTCCCCGCGCACTCGTGAGCGTTGACCTTGTGCCAGTATGGAAACAGCGGTTGCACCATGCATGTGAGGTATCATCACAAATGTCAGATCAAGGGCAGTAATTCTAACACTAGACCTCCTCTGTAAATCAAAAATGGTAGCTTGTAAAGGCTTTTAAAACGTTGCCTATGGATATTAAAAACGTATGCAATTTGTCACCATTGCACGGGGCATGCGCAGTTTTAAAGCATGTCATGTTTGCTATCTATTTACTCGGCATACCATCATCTTTTATATGTTACCAAATAATTGGACAATATTTTGTTTTTTGTGCATTAAAAGTAAAAAAAAGGTGTATTTTTGTTTTTAAATTGCGTTTGAAAAAAAATCGCTGCGCGAGTACTATGTGACATAAAAAAATTGCAGCACCCACCATTTTATTCACTAGGGTGTTTGCTTTAAAAAAAATATATTTGGGGTTTAAATTAATTTCCTAGCATTCATGTGAACAAAAAGTGTCAAAAAAGGCTTGGTCTTCAGGTGGTTAGAAGAGTGAGTGATCTGTGGCATAACTTTCTAATGCTGGGCTTTTTTGGAAAGTAGACAACCCAAACTATTTGCTGAGAGGCATGTTGAATCAATAGAAGAATTTATTTTTTTTACCACAAGTTTTTGGAAAATGACAAACAAAAAAAGTTTTTTTTTTTTTTACACAAAATTGTGATAGGTAGTGAATGTATTTTGGGGTGTAATTCCACATATGCCTATGGCTTGTGCAAGAAATATATCATTTAAATGACAACTTTGTGTAAAAAAAAAAAAAAAAAAGGTTTTGGCATATTCCAGAAATTTGTGGAAAAAAAATAAATCTTCCATGGACTCAATATGCCTCTCAGCAGATAGCTTAGGGTGTCTACTTTCCAAAAAGAGGTAATTTGGGGGTGTATTTTAGCACCTCAAGAAATGTGATGGGCAGAAAGAAAGTAAAAGCTGTGTAAATTCCATTATCTATATACAGCAATGGGCAAACTACGGCCCGGCGGACCTTTTAATCCGGCCCGCGGAGCTAGGCTCCCGCAAGGCCAGTGGTCGGCAAGCCGCGGCTCTTTACAAATTTAGATGCGGCTCTCCTGTATGCCGGGTGCCCGCTCCCCTCCCTCCCTCCCTCCCTCCTCTCCTCCTCTCCCCTCCTCTCCTCTCGGATGGCCCCCCCTCTCGGATGGCCGCCCCCTCCCTCCTC